ACATTATTTTCAGTGACAAGATTTTGTTAGTGGCAACATAATTAGTGACCACATTGTTAATGGAAATAATATTTAGATGGACTGTTGTACTATCTATTTTTTCATTCGCAATCAAAAGAAACATAACTCGGTACTGAATCAAAGAAACATAACTCGGTACCGAATCAAAGAAACATATCTCGGTACCGAATCAAAGAAACATAACTCGGTACCGAATCAAAGAAACATATCTCGGTACTGAATCAAAGAAACATATCTCGGTACCGAATCAAAGAAACATATCTCGGTACTGAATCAAAGAAACATAACTCGGTACCGAATCAAAGAAACATATCTCGGTACCGAATCAAAGAAACATAACTCGGTACCGAATCAAAGAAACATATCTCGGTACCGAATCAAATAAACATAACTCTGTCTGAAATGCGGAAAAAAAATTCCTGTTTTAACCACCCCCCCCCTCCCCCCCCCCCCCCCCCCCCCCCCCCGTGATTAAAAGTTACGTCATCAAATAGCTTCAATAGAAAATGAACAAACTAGGTAAATTGTCGGCTCGCTCACCAAAAATCAGCGTGCTAAATTTACACCAGCTGCTACCGAACGGCCAGTTAGTGTTGATTTCTTCTCCGAGGTGCATGGTGGCGCTGAGTGTGCAGATGAAGAAGTCACACACCGCCATGTTGGCGATGAGCAGATTCGCGGGCGACCTGAGCTTCTTGTGGCTGGCGATGACGGAGAGGACGACGCTGTTCCCGACGACGGCGATCATCATGATGACGGTGTACCAGAAAATCTTTAAGGACACGTCCCAGGCAGGGAGATCATCCAGCTGCTGAGAGGCATTGTGGTTTGGGAAGAAGAACGTGTAGATCGGGTTCGTTTTAGATTTTTCCCCTGGGGTGCAGGACATGTTTTTAAATGGCGAAGCTGTCGCGTGCTGTAGTTCACTCATTTTTAGAACTTGAGTTTAAAATCAAATTGATTAATTTAAAAAAAAAAAATTGATTAATACATTTTTAATAAGGGACTTCCTATACAATTTCGAGTTGTCGTTTTTTCCCCCTTCTATTTCACAATTTAAATATTGAGTGGAGTCACCAACGATAACTCATGAATGTTAAAAAAAATAATAATAGAGAAATGGCATAAATTAAATTGTAATGCTGTTTTCACGAGTCCGCTCATTCATAAATTTCAATTGTTCATTTTGTCAATGAATTTTATTAAGTTTCCGTTAACCCACGTATTTCATTTTTTGATTTCATTGGTTTTTTGGAGCAAAGTATCATTGAAGACTTTATGGTGCAGTCAGCTGAAAGGCAAAATCATTATAGATAAATGATACATAGTATGGCATTTTATTGTAATTGAACGAGTAAATGTTGGAATAAATTATAATAAATGAAGGGCTGCTTTGAAGATGTGTGAAGGAAATTGTGGAACGAGGTATGTGGAAGCTTCAAACCTAAAGACTGGTGAATAGAAGCCGAACGTTTCGGTTAAGAGCCTTCCTCGGCGGACAGGACAAATAAATAAACGCGCAGAAAAACTTCAGTGTTCACCATTAGTCTTCCAGCGAATACATTAATGGCGAACGCATATACATTTGTGAACTGCTTTCTATTTCTTGTTGCTCCTTTATTTTTTCACTTTTCGCCGAGGAAAGCTCTTCGCCGAAAACTGTTTTCTTTCATTGTCATGTGCTCACATTTGAAGCTTCCACATTCCTTGTTCCACCATTTCCTTGGAATAAATTTAAAATGTATCATAGCGTGTAGCATCAATAGTTTCGATCCATACCCAAGTCGGCGTTTGCTTTTCTCAACATATTACATATTAGCGACTACCTAGTTGGTCTACCAATCACAAACGCAACATCACACAAATTAGACTAAAGCAAAGCTTTGGAATAAAAAAAACAAACTATTTTATAATTATTTTTTTGTTTCAAGTTGTTTTGTTGGTACCATTTAAAAATTAAGTACCAATGGATACAACATTTTAAGTGAATCATCTAAATTATGGAATTTATAATCTGTGAAATAATTAACTTACTTTCATATTTTAAAACCTTTTGAATGAAATATTTCATTTTTAGCCTTAACAGTAATAACCTAGATAAGATGACGCTGTCTGAGCTTGTGTAATTGATATTTGTTAAACACACACTCATGATGAACACACAAACTAAACCTTGAGGCACACAAGAGACAGAAGAATTCTCCGACTTCATAATTGAGATTTCTTTCCTATTATTAAGTCAAGAATAAAATTTTACATTAAAAAATAATATAGTCTTCTAATAAAAGTATAGCTAGCAAGCTATTTCGTGCTGAAATTCATTCATAATCCACAAAAATGTTTATGCTTGATGTGTAATCTTTAATACGCACAGCAATTGATAAAGATTAACATAATTTGTAAAAAATATGATTTACCTACTGGTTCAATAATGATTCAATTATTTAGAAATGACGGACTAAAAACGCCACGGCAGTGAAGATTAAAGATAATGACCATGTGGTACAGAAAAAAAATGGCGGAGGCCGGAAGTTGCTGTTGATCATTACATTACGCATTCTATTTTTACTGCACCATTTGGCACCAAACTTATTTTGCACATTAATGCGATTTTTTGGAGTTAATTTTTTGCAATGTTAATGGACATTTTAAAATTAAATTCTTGCCAATGAAGAGGCAAAGATAAAAAAAAAAAAACACTAGCTCACTGAGTATATATAATTATGCGTTTAGTTTTATGAATCTTAGTGGGGGGTTTTTTGTGTGTGGAATTTTTTGGTTTTTTTAAAAAGGATAATATATGAAAGAACGCGTTCAAACCGTGTGAAGTAAATAAATAGTGGGACAAGATAAGATTCTTTACTGATCCCAATCAATGGAAATGTGTTTTAAATTACATTGTACGGATTCATTTTCAGCATATTAATGTACTGATTTTTTTAACCAAGACAACATTTTACAATTAGAACAATTTAAACTTAAGACTTCTAAAGTATTACTCTAGTGTGAAATCAGCCATTGTTAGGGACTTGAGGGTATAGTGTGATTGCGTGTTGGTTTGAGATTATGTGTGTTGTTTTATCCATTATTCTTGGTATCTTGTGACGTATTGTGTGGAAAAGGATATGACGTAGGGTAGTTAGTAGTGTTAGGGTTGTTGTGAGAAATGGCAGTTGAAGCTGTAACTTATTTATGTAATAAAGATATTTCAAATGACAATAATGGTTGGTAAAGTATATGTTATTTAAGCGCCCCTAGACAACGAAGCCAACGAACCTATTAAGTAAGACTAGGTTTGTAACAGCCATAAATGAACAAAATTTTAGTGACAAAAAAACTTCATTAGTCATTCTTTAGATTTGGTAACCCTCGATGTAGCACGTTGATAAATTCGTAATACTAAAAGTTAGGAGAGGGGAGGGGAATAATTTTGATATATTTCGGTCCTAACTTAAAGAGCAAGTTTTCGCCCTTATGGATTTGATCTTAGGTGTCTTTGCTGAGGAGGGTGGGATGTATCATCCTGCATTTTCTTTTCAAATAAATCCTCAGGCGAAGTGATTTTAGCTTGTGTGAGATAAGTAGCATTCTTAATTAGACATTAATTTTCTTAATTTTAATCTGCATGTGACGTTAGGCGATGAATTCCCCCAACCAGCAGGTAATACTGAAGTTCGATAGGCTTCCAGTTGTTGCTCTGTAGAATGAGATAAGAACTTTTTTGTTTACAATAATTAAGTCTTCTCTTTTCCAGCCTATACATACGCTCTCATCGTAATGTCGATTCTAATCAAAGTGAAGTGTGTGTGGTACGACCAAATTTGGGTTAAAACAGAGTAGCTTGGCCTCAGATATCTCCCAGTTTTACCCGTAAGTACAGTAGGACTAATTTTTACTGACCCAATAAACATTTTTAAAAAACCACTTATTTATCAGGTATGTGTGATCAGTACGAGCCAAATGCAAGTGATATGTGGATCACAAGTACTGGTCATAAGAGGAAGCTCAACAGATTTTACAAAGGTTTTTTGCGGAGCATTTTGTGAATTGCATGGGAGGACAGAGTGACTAAAACAGTGGTTTTGGCCATGTAGGGAGAGAGGAGGAAGGCCGTATTCCAAACGAACTGCTTTATGGAGAGTTGGCAGAAGGGACAGGACTGAATGGAAGGCCACGGCTGCGATTTAAGGACGTTTCCATGAGGGAACCCAGCACAGAAATCAACTATGGGAGATCATCGCTGTGCACCATTACAGTTGACGAACAGAAGTGTATGAGGGAGTAAAAAAGACAGAAGATTAGCGACATTACGGAAGACAAAAGTAATCGAAGAGTCAAGGTTCACCTACAAGAAGTTCAGCAGTGACTGCCATTCCAGGATCGGCCGCAATGGCCATTTGATGACGCGTCTATCAATGACTCCCTCTCACAGAGAATACAGGATGTCATATTTACTTTAAATCTAAAAAGAAAAAAAAGTCTTTTCTTTCACTTCATGGTATCCTTTCGCAGTTAATGCTCCCATATCATTGACAATTTTACATTGCCAAATGATGGCCGCTACCAAAGATATGACGGAGAGACAACCTGTCGTTTTTTCCCAGACAATAATATGTTTTTTTTTTAGCGTTCTTACTCATCATGCATATGTCTGATTAAGTATATACATCCAATCTTATACCACACACGCGTTTACAAGCTCTTTGGTAGACAGCAGAATAAAGACTTGTAAAATTAAATTAATTTTTTTTTAAAGTAATAGAAGTAAAGACTGCATGTTCGGACTCCAAAATTAAATTTGATTTTACTTTTCGCTCATGCTAGCATCGATTTTCTTGTCTTGTTCCGCATTTTTTTTAAAAAGCTCAAAGACTATCAGAGTTGAACTTTAAACCATTCTGTAATGCTTCAATTTATTTTAAAGTTAATGTTGTGTATTTTTTAAATATATATATATATATATATATATATATATATAT